CCCAGCCACATATACACATGCCCATCACCTCCAGGCCACACCCCCACTCTGGCCGCATTTGCTGAGGTGGGCGTGGCTAATCCCCAGCCCCGCTGCTGTTGTGGGGTGGGTGGTGGGGTGGGGCAGCCCCTCATGCAGGTGCTGCTGGGATCTGTGCATGGCTCAGGCTTGTGTACAGATGAGGCTCCATTGAGGCTCCTCATTCCTGGGGTCCCTGGTTCAGGGTTGCCTGGCCAGGTTTTCCCAGGACTGTCCCTTTGTTGAGGTAGCTGTCCTGGAAGGCCTGCCTGGGTTCCAGTGCACACGGCCAACTGTCCAGTGTGATGGGCTCAGGATCATCCCAGACGCGGCAGCTCTACCTGCCCCACTAACGGTGAGCTTCCTCTGGCCCTCCTGCAGGGCATTTCCAGCCCAGCCGAGACAAGCTGTCATACACGAGCCTGAAGAAGCTTGCCAGGACCAGGCCAGCAGGGCTCCAGGACATGCCCTTCTCCTTCACCTCAGCAGTTGACTTGACCGTGGATGGGCAGGTCATTCCCAAGGGCCAGCCCATTTCCCTGCTTTCGGTGGCCAGGCATGAGGGCCAGGAGTTTGCCAACTGCACAACCACGGGGCAGGACGGGCAGCATTTGCTCTGCCTCCCCTTCTCCCTCCAGGGTCAGTTCTATGAGTGCAGCAGGCAGCAGAGCTACACGCTGAGCCAGGTGCTGCAGTCGGAAGCCCTGAGGGGCCAGCACCTGAAATGCTCTGCACTTGGCAGGCACTCACTGCTCCTCTGCCCCGTGTACGAAGTGCAGGCGATAATGCACAGTGAGTACGGGTGCAGCCGGGGCTGCTGGGGGTGTGTGTATGTGTGTGTGTGTGAGAGAGAGAGAGAGAGAGCTGGATGGAGTGGTGTGTGTATGGCTCCGTGCCTCTGGGCCAGTTTATGGGGGAGGTGTGTCCTGGAGTCTCTGTGTGTGCTAGGGTGACCACCCATCCCTTCTTTTAAAGGGCAGCCCCTTATTTCATTGATTTATCCATTAAGGCAACCACTCAGCCCTTATTGTAAAATGTACTGAAATGTACTAAAACAGATCATTAGTACGTTTTAAACTTTAAGTTGAAGCTTACGATAATTGAATTGTACACTTGAGAGAACAATCCATGCTATGCGAAGGGAAATAGTGTTTCCCTAAAATGTCCCTTAATGTCCCTTAAAGTTGTGGTTTTTCCTTATTTCCATTCAACAAAGGTGGTCCCATAGTGTGTGCCCATCTCAATGTGTGTGTTGCTGTCTCTGTGTGACTTTGTTGGGGAAGAACTTTCCTTTCAATGAACTGAGGCATTTATTTAACTGAAGCTATTAAGAGCCCAAATAATCCACATCAGACAATTTAAGCTAGTGGGCCAGACTGGATAACAAAGCTGGCAATACTTTTCCAAGCACCGATGTGAGTAACCAAAATGGGATGCTGCTGCTCACAGTAAATTGTGCAGATCTTCAGAATATGATGGTGTTGCCCCTGGGTTCCCCTGGGCTCCTTGCCCCTGGCTCACCTTGATGGGGCTCCTTGGGCTCAGCTCCTTCTTGCCTGGGGGGCGGGATAAGTCATGGCATCTCCCAAGCGCCACCCATGTAAGACACCAAACCGAGCAGTCCCAGTGAATTGTACAAACCTGCCCCACCCCACACTCTCCTTTTTCACATGAGCAATGGGATGGTAACAATGCTGATATTTACATGGGAACCTTGGAACTGCCAGCCTGGATTCATAGAGTCCCACATTCCAAGGCCAGAGGGGGGCATGTGATCATCTAATCTGACCTCCTGTATAACACAAGCCAGAAACCTGCCCCCAAATAATCCTTAGAGCAGAGCTTTTTTAAAAAATCCAATCCTGATTTTAAAATTGTCAGTGATGGAGAATCCACCATGACCTGTGGTAAATTTGTTCCAATGGCAAATTGCTGTCACTGGTAAAAATTTACACCTTATTTCCACTCCACTCTGAACTTGTCAGGCTTCAACTTCTAGCCATTGTTGTGTTACACCTTTCTTTGCTTGTTTGTGTGGCCTACATTCTTTGTTCCTGGATGTATACATTTATATTTAGCCATATTAAAACATACATCGTTTGCTTGCCCCCAGCTTACCAAGTGATCCAGATCACTATGTGTCAGTGACCTGTTCTCTTCATTATTTACCACTCCCCCAATTTTTGTGTCATTTGCACACTTTGTCAGTGATTTTATGTTTTCTTCCAGGTCATTGATAAAAATGTTAAATAGAGTAGAGCCAAGAACCAGTCTCCCTGGGACCACACTAGAAATATACCGTTCGATGACAATTCCCTGTTTACAATTACATTTTGAGACTTATCAGTTAGCCAGCTTTTAGTCCATTTAATGCACTCCGTGTTAATTTTATATCTTTCTAGCTTTTTAATCAAAATATTGTATGGCACCAAGTCAAATGCCTTACAGAAGTCTAAGTATATTTCATCAGTACGTGTAATCTCATCAAAATAATACGGTATATCAAGTTAGCTTGATAGGATCTACTTTCCATAAACCATGTTGATAGGCATTAATTATATTACCCTCCTTTAATTCTTTATGAATCAAGTTCCATATCAGCTGTTCCATTATCTTGCCCAGGATTAAGATCAGCCAGACAGGCCTTTAAGTACCGAGCTCATCCCCTTTTCCCTTTTTAAATATTGGCACAACATCAGCTTCCTTCCAGGCTTCAGAAACTTCCCCAGTGCGCCAAGACTTACTGAAAATCAACAATAATCGTCCAGCAAGCTCCTCAGTCAGCTCGTTTAAAATTCTTGGATGCAAGTTATCCAGACAAGACCTGCTGCTTTCAAAATGTCTGACTTTAGTCACAGCTATTTACCACCTTCCTGAGATATTAGTGGAATGGAAAGAGTGTTAGCATTATCATCAGATGATATGTCTGCATCATCTATTTTCCCCCAAATACAGAACAGAAATATTTATTGATTACTTCTGCTTTTGCTGCAATATTATTGATAATTCTACCATCACCATCTAGTAATGAACCAATACCATTGTTTGCATTCTTTTTGTTCCTAATATACACCTCTACCCCGATATAACGCTGTCCTCGGGAGCCAAAAAAATCTTACCGCGTTAGAGGTGAAACGCGTTATATCGAACTTGCTTTGATCTGCCGGAGTGCGCAGCCCCACCTCCCTGGAGCGCTGCTTTACTGCGTTATATCCGAATTCATGTTATATCGGGTCACGTTATATCGGGGTAGAGGGGTACTTTAAAAAAATCTCATTCTTATTGTCCTTAACTCTGCTGGCCATAGGTTTCGCCTTGTGTCACTTTGCTTCCCTTCTCCATTTTATACAATTCCTAGCTTCTGATTTATATTCATTACTATCAACTTCCCCTTTCTTCCATTTTTTGTATATTCTATTATTATTATTATTTTGTATAACTGCCTTCACTTCCCCTTTAAACCAGGTTGTTCTTTTAACCAATATGGCCTTCTTCCTTAGTTGTGGGATTTTGGCTTTTTGGGCATGTAGAAAAGTGTTCTTAAACAATTTCCAATTATCATTCACATTTTTCAGATAAAATTTTTCCTCCCAACTGAGGAACCCAGCATCAGACCAAACATACAATAATCTCACCTCCAAGGGTGGCCAGCACCAGATGCTTCCAAGAAAGGCATAAGAATCCCACAGTAGCCAAAGTGATATAATCTGTGCCTTCTCTCCCAGGTCTCACATGGTCTCTAATAGTTAGAGATTGCTTAAATCCTGAAGCACAAGGTTTAACATCCCAGTTCTGTGTATCCCTAGCCTGTTCTAATATTCCAACACTTTTTTTAGTATTGAAATAACTGGATATTCTTGGTCTCCTTATAGACTCATAGACTTTAAGGTCAGAAGGGACCATTATGATCATCTAGTCTGACCTCCTGCATGATGCAGGCCACAAAAGCTGACCCAGCCACTCCTGGAATAATTTTCTCCCTTGACTCAGCTGTTGAAGTCCCCAAATCATGATTTAAAGACTTCAAGTCGCAGAGAATCCTCCAGCAAGCGACCCCTGCCCAGCAAGCAACCCCTGCCCCATGCTGCGGAGGAAGGCGAAAAACCTCCAGGGCCTCTGCCAATCTACCCTGGAGGAAAATTCCTTCCCGACCCCAAATATGGCGATCAGCTGAACCCCGAGCATGCGGGCAAGATTCTCCAGCCAGACCCTCCGGAAAAAGTTCTCTGTAGTAACTTTTAATATCCCATCATTGACCATTGTTACTAATTACCAGCGATGGCACATTATTGACTTATTGACTAATCACGTTATCCCATCAAACCATCCCCTTCATAAACTTATCAAGCTTAATCTTAAAGCCAGAGAGGTCTATAACTATCCAACCCCTTTTTGAATCTTGTTAAATTCTTCACCTCAGCAACTTCTTGGGACAATGAGTTCCACATCTTAAATGATCATCGATGGATGCCTGTGGTAATCCCTCACTGATCTGAGTGGGGTTTTTCCACACCTCTCCAAGCTGTTTTCTCAGGCTCTCTGCAGACTCAGCTCTGCATTAGTTACAGTTGGTTCATGTTTCTGAGCTTGTCTTCACAATCATAACAGCTACAGACTTTTCTTAAAGCTGAAAGCTCGGATTGTGGAGCACAGAACACGTCTGAGCGGTGCCGGTACCGTGCTTGGCTGCCACCAGCTGCTCCTGGGCCCTGAGCTGAGCAGCCATAACAGTCTCACTCCTTACAACACTGGCTAGCACAATAGGAATTAGGGATTCCTATTAGACCTATGAGCCCCCATCTTATTCATGGCCAAGGTGCACTCACCACAAGTCATGGGAGGTGTAACGTTCAGCTATGGACAGGGCTTGGAAACATCTGGCACGCACCCATTTGCTAAAATGGCACTGCTCTAGGCTATCTGCTCCTCCAATCTCTCTTAGAGGCATGGGGTAGTTTCAATAGTGCCAACCTCAAGTGATCAAAAATCATGACTCACACCCAAAATTCATGAGATTTTAAAAAAAGATTATGTGTTTTGGTATGTCTTCTGGGTGCCAAATTCCCCCTGCCCAGCCAAGTGTGTGGGTGACAAGTGGGGCCCAGTGTGTGGGGTGACAAGTGGGGCTGCCCAGTATGTGGGGTGACAAGCGGGGCTGCCCAGCGTGTGTGGGGTGACAAGCAGGGCTGCCCAGCGTGTGTGGGGTGACAAGCAGGGCTGCCCAGCGTGTGGGGTGACAAGTGGGGCTGCCCACACTCCCAGATTCATTGGGTTGGGGGATCTTGGCCCCTGCTGCAGGAGCTCTCACCCCCAGTTTTGCCCATCACCTGTCCAGCAATTAATATTACCCCTCAGTGTCCAAATCAAGCTTACCCCCGAGGACCGACCTCCTATCAGTTCAGCCCCATGTCACTTCACTCACCAAGCCCCTAATCTCTCAGTTCTGTTCCACAGCTTCACCTCTGCTCTTCCTGGGGTTCTCCAACCCCTCTCCCAGGCTAGGGGGGCTTCTGGGGTCCCCTTTCCCCCTCCCAGGGGGGATCAGAAGTGTGCCACCTGTCCCCAGGGTTCATAGGAGCCAGCCTGAGCTGCTGGGCTCTTTCTCTTGCTGCCTGACCGTGGAGAATGGCTTCAGGTTCTGAAGGTGGGGAGACAACTCTTCCTACAGCAGAGTGATTGGTTGCTCAGCCCCAGGAGGCAGGCAAGTGGGGCAGGCAGCCAATCAGAGCGCTCAAATTCATAGAGGGGCAGAGTTTCTGACATTAGCAGCTGGCTCCAGCCCGGCTGAAATCCACCAGCGCTGACGACGCTGCAGTCCCCCCAGGGCGGGGTGAGGGCCCAGTCTTGTGCCTGTCAGTGTCCAGCTGCACGGGAGAACGGGGTCAGGCTGCAGACCTGCATGCTTCACTGAGAGGTTTTCCCTCAGCAAGGAACCAGCCCCCAGGAGCCCAGCGAAGCTTAGGGGGTCACACTCCTGAGCACCATTATTAAATTAAATTAAATTAAATTAAATTAAATTAAATTTGCACAATCTTGTGTGAGCGGCGACTCATTTTGGTGACTCACATGGGTGGGGCCTATTTTGTGGTTGGAGCTTGGAAGAGTACCACTACCTTTCCCCCTAGAGCCCTGCCTTTGTATTTCCCCAGTCCTAGGCTGGTTGCGTGCTGGACCAGTCCCCCACGTGGTGCACAGGCTGCTGGTAGTCTCAAGGAACTGATCCTGCAGCTGGAGATCTCTGTAGCGGATGGATGTCTTGGCCATGCCCCCATAGACCCCATTCACCTCTCAAACTGTGGTTTAAACTTGATTGTAGCCAATTGGGGGATCTAACAGCACTTGGAGCTGGGCACAAACAACACTGGAACTATGTTATAAAACACGCCTCTGCCTAGAATAGCAGTGACCTAACACAGGAGTCCTTAAACTTCATTGCACCACGACCTCCTTTGGACAACAAAAATTACTACGTGACCCAGGTGTGATTTTCGGCTTCAGCCCGGGACAGTGGGGCTCAGGCTTCGGCTTCAGTCCCAGGCCTCAGCAAGTGTAAAGCTGGCCTTGGCAAGCCCATTAAAATGGGATCGCAACCCACAGCTTGAGAACAGCTGACCTAACACATTTATCTCTGTCCATATTGGCCAGGTAGTTAGCCACACACGCACTCTGCCACCAGTGGGGGCAAGCAACTCTACACAGTGTTTCTGTACCCACTGATCAGTGTGTTACTGGACCTCTCCGTGCTGATCCACAGAGGATAGGATTCTGATCTAGCCCAAGTAGAAACTTTAGCTCATGCTACAGCAGCTCAGGCTTTCAGCTCTGGATGTCCCCTATTCATTCCACAGGGTCTCAGGATGACAGCTGTCATGCTGAGTTTTTAACCAGTATTGGAGCCAGGGTCAGTACATCCTGCCAGCATCTCAGCCTGGGCGCGAGCAGCAGTGCAGACCCGGGCTCTCCCTGGCAGGGAGATAACCCCTGGTTATTGTAGGCTGCAAAAGCATCTGGGGCCTGATTCTCAGCTGGCATCACCAGGGTCAATGGGGTGGCACTGGCTGGGGTTGGGACTGCTGTCTCTCACTGCTGCATGTCTCGCCCCTGCAGTGCGGAAGGAGGTGGTGAAAATCCCCTCCACCCTGGAAGTGGATGTGGAGGATGTCACCGAGGAGTCTCAACACATCCACTTCATCAAGCTGCTGATGCTGAGCGAGGTCCTGGGGCTGGAGGGGGCCTTCCCCATGCAGGCCGAGATCCTGGAGGGTCCTGAGTACCCACCTATCTTCGAGAACGACTGGATTCCCCGCCTGCAGAAGGGGCAGAAGATCCAAATCCATGGCAAGTCCTGTGCCTGGAGGATCCTCGCCTCGTCCAGCAAGGGCAGGAGGGGCTCCCGGCACTTCCTGCTCTCCAGCACCTACCAGGGCAAGTTTCGGAGACGCCCCCGGGAGTTCCCCACAGTCTTTGACCTGACAGCGAGTCTGGAGAAGGGTAAGTGCCTGCGGGTGGTGGTGACTAAAGACTGTGAGAGCCCCGAGGAGGATCTGCCGTCTCTCAGCATGGGGGACCGGCTGGAGGTGCTGCACCTGGCCAAGACCCAGGTCTGCAGGCAGGCAGAGCACAAGTCCATCGATGTCCTCCTGTGCAGCAGGAGCAGCGGCGAGGACGAGGAGAGCGAGCAGCTCATGCTGCCGCTGCACCTGGAAGGCGGCTTTGTGGAAGAGGTCAGCGACAGCAGGAGATACAGCCTCCCCGAGATAGTGGAGCAGCTTCAGCTGCCCTGCGAGGTCAAGGTGGCAACCAAGGATTCTTCCCTTGCCAATGATGTCCTGGGCTCTTTCTCCGCTCTGCGGCTGGAAGCGCAAATCACTGAGCCCTTCTTAGTGACCAGCTTATGCGAGGCGCCGTCAGTGAGCTTCCAGATCCCCCCCCAATGGCTGGACATGGCCGTGTTCTTCACAGAGGAGCCTGCCCCACCACAGACACCCCTGACAGACAGGTCAAAAGTTGAAGAGCTGACAGAATCCTTTTATTATCATTTGCTAAAGCTGATGCCTAGCAATGAGGCTCCCCCACCGCGGCCCCCCAAAAGAAGGGACGTCAGGGACAAAGCAGGCACCCAACTATCTGGAGCCAACGAGGTAACTGAGAAACCAAAGGTACGAACGTGTGTGTGTGTGTGTGTGTGTGTGTGTGTGTGTGTGTGTGTGTGTGTGTGTGTGTGTGTGTGTGTGTGTGTGTGTGTGTGTGCGCAGCGCTTTTACTGCATCACAGAAGGACTCCGCCGGGCAGCAGAGCACAGGAGGAGCTGGGAAAGAAGGGGACCCCTGCAGAGGTTGGGGTCCTTGCTGGTCTCCCCACTTCCCTGCAGAAATTCTAGTGTAAATTCTGCACCCCAGCTCTCTGGTGTCCATTTGGGACTGGATTTTCTTGGCAACTATCCCATGGCTTGTAGTCCGCACACCCTGCTACCAGCATCTTCAACAGACTGAGCTACAGCCTTTTATTTTTAAAATCCATCTTATTCCTCTTCCCATTAGCCACTGCCCCCTTTGTCCAAGTCGAAGTGCACACCCGAGGAGTCTGGGCCGCTGTCCCCCAAGCCTAGGAATGTGAGGAGTCCCTCGATTGTCCGGAGCTCCCCGAATGAGTACTCACCACATCAGATTGGCTCGCAGATGGCCTCCAAGCCTAAGAAACCCTTCAAAGAGGTCAGAGGTGAGACTGTCCAATAGACTTGCTGCTGTAGCACTAAAGATGAAAAGGAAGTGCACAGCATGATTCACTGTGGCAAAATTATTAGAACTAATCTGATGATGCTAAGGGAAAACTACTGGGCTGTGACATGGTGCCCCCATTGCTTGGGACGCAATGTTGGACACAATTCTAAAAAGGCGAGTGGGAAACAATTACTCCAAGTGCTGGAGAGGGGGTCTGGGAGTGCTAGACCACTGCAGGGGCCGGGAAGTTCGTTATTAGGGGGTTTCCCCTGCCTCTGCAGCATCAACTTTCCGGCTCCTATCAGCCTGCATAGAGATTAGATTTGACCAAGAAGTGGAAAAACCACTTTGCAAAACATTGGGCCATTTGGAATTTCTTCCTGTTTCAAAGGGTTCAAATGTTTAAATTGTTTTACCAAAAAATTTGAATAGTCAGAAGTTAGCTCTCCCCTTTTTGCCACTGAGTGCAATAAAATGAATGTGGTCCAGGGTTTTCCTCACACAGTCCTTTTTTCCTTTTTTTCCAATCTGTAGTGTTTCAACTTTGGAAAAGCTTCCAAGTAACAGAATGACAGTTTCATTTCTCCTTTTGTCCCTTGGTAACTTTTCTAAAGTTGGAGAAGATTTGACAACTTACAGAGGAGAAAAGGGAGAAAAAAAAATTCTAGACCTTATTCATTCTACTGCATTCAGTAACAACAACAACAACAACAAAAGAGTGAGAAAGGGGGGAAAAAAACCTGGTCTCAAAAAAAATTATTTCAAACATTAAAATGAAAATTCAATTTGAACAGAAATTAGATTACAATTTTTGTTTAGAACATTTTTATTGACAATTAAATGTTTCATGGGAAGATATCGTTGGTTTTCAGAAAACACCATTTTCAGCAGGAAATTTTTGATCGGCTCTAGGGTCAGTGGGATCTGTGCTTGAACATACACAGTACTATAAAATGCATATCAGTACTCTAAGAAAGCAGGGCCTAGGCATCTCAAATTGGGCACCCAAAATTAGTGGACCATATAACAATTTTGGCCTTAACCTCTCTGTGTCTCTGGTCCCTATGTGTAAAACAGGAACAATACCCACCCACCCCTCACCTCACTGAGGCTGTCCAGGCAAGCAACCTTAATTTTGATGCTTCTTAACTTTCGAGTGCTCGATTTTTCAACTTTCATATTCTTAAAAGTTTTGTTAATATAATGTAAGACGAAATCAGGCTGTTTTGTTAACTCAGGGAGCACACGCAGAAAGGGGTAAACCTCATGCCAGTGCAGATAAAGAGAAGTAGGCTACGATCATAAAAACAAATCTCATGCTTGAGGGTGGGAACGGATCTCTGCAGGGGCTGGAAAGGATGTGCCCTCCCACTAACAGCACCCCAAAACTGGCTCTAGGTTCACTGAACTGTTTTGTTTGGCATCCCCCTCAAAGCATCAGATACCGGCCACTGACAGAAGCCAGACACCAGTCTGGTTAGGTCATTGGTCTGATTGAGCACAACATATGCTGCATTCTTAGCAACATGCAAACACACTATATTGCCCATTGCTTTTTATGCTCTTAGCTCCTGGGCTTTTTGCTGTTAGTCACCTTTGCTAGTATTGTATTCAGATAAAAGTATTACTCTTGCCTCTCAACACTGGCAGGGAAGGAGAAGGAGAGCCCAAGAATCTGCCTCTCTAAAGGGTTTCTATAGCCTGTACCTCCCTAGTATCTTAGCACATGGAGTCGTCCAGGGCATCCCAAACGCTGTCACAGCACCTGCATGGTATTCTCTTTCCTTTTCCTTTTAGATGCGAATGTCAGTGATGACTCTGACCACGACTATGAACTAATTGAGGATGACCTTACAAAAACAATTGATAAAATGCAGAAGGCTGTTCTTCACTACTAGGACTCCAGCATGCAGGACATGACAAGAAGCCAGCCTACGCCAAAGCCACTCCCAGTTCTTAAACTCAGAGATGAGCACTTGCAAAAGCTAAATGCAGCACTGAGTCCTATGAAGTGGCTTCCAACTGCCCTCACCAGTGCAGCCTGAAGAGACAGCTGGGTTCCAGCAGTCACTGCTCCCTTGTGCTGCAAGCAAGCCTGCACATTCAGAGACCTGTCCTCTATGTACTAAAGCAGAGGGCTGGTGTTATTGGTCCTATGGTAAGCTAAGTGCTGTCCTTAGCTGTGCAGTTTGGAACCAGGGTTGCTGGAACAATTTGTATAGTGGGGGGTGCTGAGAGCCATTTAATCAAGCTGTAAATCTTGTTTATGAGGGAAAACACTTCAAGTCTAGGGGTGCAGCAGCACCCCCAGCACCCCTAGTTCCAGCACTTATGTTTGGAACCCCTGGTTTACACTGGTGCACCAGGACAAATAGGCGGGTTAACCAAGTCTCTCCAATGATTCCCCTAGCAGGCACAGAGTCCCAGTATTAGGGGAGTCTCCCTTCAATAATTGAGTTGTGTGGATTCAGCTCCTCTGAACTCTGAGATCTACACGTTTGAGCTGAGCAGAGCAAAGCTGATCCTGCATCAGCATGCCAGCTGGGGGACTGTCAGGGCACGCTGCTCTCCTGCACCTGCTCTAGGACATTTCAGAAGTGACCCCAAGACAATATACTTGGGGAACAGTTTTAGTAGTTACCCAAGGGATGCGCCATGTTCTTACCCCTGTATAAACCTGTATACCCCATTGTAAACTTCTGGGATGTGGTGCTGGTGCTAGAGCTCTCTTTCTGCATTTATACTTGATCTGAAGCACCTTAATTCAGAGCTCTAAGTAAGGGGCTGGAAACGCAGCAGCCCTGGCAGGGCCGTCCTTACCCGTATGCAACTGTGTGGGGCACCAGGAAACTTGGGGCACCAAATTTCCTGGTGCCCTGCGCAGCTGCATGCTGCTTCAGCCCCTGCCCCACCTCTTCCCGCCCCTGAGGACTGCAGCAGGGCAGGGCCTGCACTCACCGGCGGCAGAAAGTGCAGGGACCCAGACCCAGCCAGGCCCCCAGAATAGCTAGGGACGGCCCTGACCCTGGAGTCTCACCTGTGTGCACTCACACCCTGAGGAGGCCCATAGGCAGTCATCTACCAGTTGGTGTGGCAGCGCTTGAGTGATCTTTCACCCTCACTGCATGGATAACAAAGAACACTTTTCTGCAGCTGCTGCATGCTGTTTTGGGTGTGGTTTAATATTGTAGGTCATCTAGGCAGGCCAAAGCTTTCTACCCTGTGTGCCTAAAGTTAGACTCAATAGAACGAAGCTTCATTATGGAAGATGCTGAGCAGCTCTCACTACTGTCAGTGGGATTTGTGGGTACATGGCCCTGCTGAAAATTAGGCTACTTTGTTTAGGTTCCTCACTATGTATTTAGAAACTTAACTTTAGGCATCCAGGTTTGGCAATGTAAGCCTCAGAATCTCTCCTCCTGTGTGAGAATCAGTACAGCACTGGCATGCAGGGCACTGGGTTAGTTTAGCATATTTTGTACAGTACAGTGCAGTGCTGGCTACAGCTGGGACCCACACAAATTGCTCACACATTTACATAATTGTAGAATATCAGGGTTGGAAGGGACCTCATGAGATCATCTAGTCCAACCCCCTGCTCAAAGCAGGACTGATCCCCAGACAGATTTTTTCCCTAGATCCCAAAGTGGCCCCCTCAAGGATTGAACTCTCAACCCTGAGTTTAGCAGGCCAATGCTTAAACCATTGAGCTATCCCTCCCCCCCGGTTGCCCTGGTTCTGAGGACACAACTCAAACACCAAGGCACAATGTCCTATGGAGAAACACTTTGAGGGCTGGAATTAAACACATTCTACAGCTCCAGCTGAACTCATTTCTCCTTTTGAGGACACTGTAAAAAGCTGCAGTTGTGAACCCCATCCCCCGTTACTTTCAGTGATTTGCTGGTTTGTCTCAGCCATTTTTAGACAACCAGAGGCTACATCTTTGCTCACAGCTGCCAACATTCCACCCGTCCTTCAGCTCACAGGGTACCTCGTGCTTGTGAACAAGCCTGTTGGCCTATCTTCCTTTGGCATGCCCAGTGTGATACTTGTGATGACTCTGCTGCGCCCTTGGTCTTTGGCTCTCATTTATAAGGTGGCAACAACAAAAAAATAAATAAAAATAAAAAGTGTCACAATGCAACCCCAGCGGTTTTATTTAAAGTTTGGAAAAATATCTTGAAGCCTCAGGATCAATATTCTCTATGCAACAAAATGCACAAACTGCATCAAGGGAGAGGGAAGAGAAATAATTGGATGGCTTGTTTGATTTTAATGGTATAAAAATTGAGGTTCTTCGACGGTAGCATCATGCAGTGCAGGAGAGCACTTCCCCCTGAAATCTGGACACAATGCAGGCATGACAGGCTTGGTGGAAGCAGGGCTGGAAGACACCTGCTGACTGCTTTGAGAAACAGGTAGAAATAGGAATCTAAAGAGAACTGAAACCTAACCCCTCCATCTGACTGAAAGCAAGGCCCTTTTGCTATTCATCCAGCCAAAGGGAGGGTTATACTCTGTAATGTGACTTTAACAATGGTTTTGTGGTGCTCCACATTTATTCTTGTCTACTCTCCAGCAAGTCTGCTCAGTTTGCCAGCCAAAGATTTTTTTTTTTTAAATCTATGAAAGCAGACTGGGATCTGGGGCTAGTGATAGGGCAGAGGGTCTCAGAGCCTAGGCTCCAGCCCAAGCTCAAATTTTTAGCTCAACAATCCAAGCTGTGTGCCTGAGACTCAGCACTGTGGGTTTTTTATTGCAGTGTAGACATGAAAATCAAGTTAGTGCTTCTGGTTTGTGCATCACTAGAGTCCATAACCCCAAAGCTGCCGTACATACCTGTACATCACTTGTCCTCAAACTTATACCCTTGGCTACAGCTCTGCTGCGACAAGAACCTGAATAAAATATTGCATTCAGTGGGCTTGCACAAGTGTAACACAGCAGAATCTGAAGACACTAGAGGGCAAAGCCAGTTCTGTTGATGTGTGAACAAGGAATAATCCAGCTCCAGCTTCCAAAGCTGGACAGCTTCTGCAGTGCCAAAAGAGCAGTAAAATCTTACTCTCATTTACATACAAAAAGACTTCATAGAAAACATTAAGATTGCAAATTGAAGCAATTGAAATGTAGAAGTGCCAGATTTAAGGTTGCCAATTACAACCCAGCTCCAATCATGATAGTCTGTAATACATGAACATATGCCTCTCCCGCCCCTTTTTTTGGAGGGGAGGGTCACAGAACCCCTACCTCATTTAGTGCACTGGACAGCTGTTGCTCAGATACTCAATCAGGTAGTAGCTGAACCTACGAGGGGGGAAGCCATTTTAGATTTGGTGCTGGTGAGTAGTGAGGACCTAGTTGAGGAAATGGTTGTAAGGGACAACCTTGGCTCGAGTGATCATGAGCTAATTCAGTTTAAACTAAATGGAAAGATTAACAGAATTAAATCAGAGACTAAGGTTTACAATTTCAAAAGGGCTAACTTTAATAAATTAAGGGGACTGGTTAGGGAAGTGGACTGGACTAACATATTTAGGGATCTAAAGGCGGAAGGCGCCTGGGATTATTTCAAGTTGAAGTTGCAGGAGGTGTCGGAGGCCTGTATCCCAAGAAAGGGAAAACGGTTCGTAGGCAGGAGATTTAGACCTAGCTGGATGAACAAGGATCTCAGAGTGGTCATTAAGAAAAAACAGAAAGCGTACAGGGAGTGTAAGCGGGGTGGGGGTGGGGGGAGGAATAGCAAAGAAACCTACCTTATTGAGGTCAGAGCATGTAGAGATGGAGTGAGAAAAGCCAAAAGCCGAGTAGAGTTGGACCTTGCGAGGGGAATTAAAACCAATAGTAAGAGCTTTTATAGCCATATAAATAGGAAGAAAAGAAAGAAAGAAAGAAAGAAAGAAAGAAAGAAAGAAAGAAAGAAAGAAAGAAAGAAAGAAGTGGGACCGCTTAAGACTGTAGATGGAGTGGAGATTAAGGATAATCTAGGCATGGCACAATACCTAAATGAATATTTTGCTTCGGTATTTAATGAGGCAAATGAAAGGCCGAGGAACAGTAGAAGCGAGACGGATGGGAGTAAAGGAGTGGGGATTGACATTACCGTATCCGAGGTAGAAGCCAAACTTAAACAGCTTAACGGGACTAAATCGGGCGGACCGGATGATCTTCATCCGAGAATATTAAAAGAACTGGCGCGGGAAATTGCAAGCCCGTTAGCGATAATTTTTAATGAATCCATAAACTCGGGGGTGGTACCGTTGGACTGGAGAATAGCTAATGTGGTTCCTATTTTCAAGAAGGGGAAAAAAAGTGACCCGGGTAACTACAAGCCTGTTAGTCTAACATCTGTAATATGCAAGGTCTTGGGAAAAATTTTGAAGGAGAAAGTAGTTAAGGACCTTGAGGTCAATGCCAATTGGGACAAATTACAACACGGTTTTACGAAAGGTAGATCGTGCCAAACCAACCTGATCTCCTTCTTTGAGAAAGTAACAGATTTCTTAGATAAAGGAAATGCGGTGGATCTAATATACCTCGATTTCAGTAAAGCGTTTGATACGGAATTATGAGGAATTATTGGTTAAATTGGAAAAGATGGGGATCGATATGAAAATCCAGAGGTGGATAAGGAACTGGTTAAAGGGGAGACTGCAGCGGGTCGTACTAAAAGGTGAACTGTCAGGCTGGAGGGAGGTTACCAGTGGAGTTCCTCAAGGTTCGGTTTTCGGTCCGATTTTATTTAATCTATTCATTACTGATCTCGGAACCAAATGTAGGAGTGGGCTGATAAAGTTTGCAGATGACACAAAGTTGCGAGGTATTGCTAATTCGGAGAAGGATCGGGATATCCTGCAGGGAGACTTGGATGACCTTGTAAACTAGAGTAATAGTAATAAGATGAAATTTAATAGTGAGAAGTGTAAGGTTATGCATTTAGGGATAACTAACAAGAATTTTAGTTATAAGCTGGGGATGCATCGGTTGGAAACAACGGAAGAGGAGAAGGACCTCAGAGTCCTGGTTGATCGCAGGATGACTGAGTCGGCAATGTGACGTGGCCGTGAAAAAAGCTAATGCGGTCTTGGGATGCATTAGGCGAGGTATTTCTAGTAGGGATAGGGAGGTGCTGCTTCCGTTATACAAGGCACTGGTGAGACCTCATTTGGAGTACTGTGTGCAGTTCTGGTCTCCCATGTTTAAAAAGGATGAAATCAAACTGGAAAGGGTACAGAGAAGGGCCACTAGGATGATCCGAGGAATGGAAAATCTGTCGTATGAAAGGAGACGCGAGGAGCTCGGTTTGTTTACCTTAACCAAAAGAAGGCTGAGGGGGGATATGATTGCTCTCTTTAAATATATCAGAGGAATACATATCAGGGAGGGAGAGGAATTATTTCAGCTCAGTACTAATGTGGATACTAGAACGAATGGATATAAACTGGCTGTCGGGAAGTTTAGGCTTGAAATTAGACGAAGGTTTCTAACCATCAGAGGGGTGAAATTTTGGAACAGCCTTCCGAGGGAAACAGTGGGGGCGAAAGACCTCTCTGGCTTTAAGATCAAGCTTGATAAGTTTATGGAGGGGATGGTTTGATGGGATACAGTGATTTTAGTCAATAGGTCGATAACAATGGTCAATGATGGGATATTAAAAGTTATTACAGAGAACTTTGCCAGAAGGTCTGGCTAGAGAATCTTGCCCGCATGCTCGGGGTTCAGCTGATCGCCATATTTGACGTCAGGAAGGAATTTTCCTCCAGGGTAGATTGGCAGAGGCCCTGGAGGTTTTTCGCCTTCCTCCACAGCATGGGGCAGGAGTCGCTTGCTGGAGGATTCTGAGCGACTAGAAGTCTTTAAATAATGATTTGGGGATTTCAACAGCTAAGTCAAGGGAGAGAATTCTTCCAAGAGTGGGTGGGTCAGGTTTTGTGGCCCGCATCATGCGGGAGGTCAGACTAGATGATCATAATGGTCCCTTCTGACCTTAGAGTCTATGAAAACTATTGTCTGTCCTTGTTTGTTGCAGAAGTTGGAAGGTGGGTTACTACAAATGAGGCAGGGATACCTGCCTTGTTTTTTGCAGAAGTTGGAAGGTGGGTTACTACAAATGAGGCAGGGGACTCATAGTCAAAGCAGTTGAATGCTACCCTAGAAAATGATTCCATTCCCACCTCCACCAGATAGTTCTTCCTTGATGCTGGGCAAGTCACTTAAACCAAACTTCTCCCAGAGGGCCACTATGTGTTCCTTATGTTCTGGGTGCCCATACATGGGCCCGGACAAGCACTCACTTTTGCTACTGAAGTCAGTGGGAGCTGTGAATATACAAAGTGCTAAAAAACACTAAACACTCAGAAATAAAATCAGGCCCTAGGCATCCAAAGTTGGGCACTTAATAATTTTGGCTTTAAACTCAGCCACAGTTCCCCATCTAAGTTTTTTAACACTCAGTAATCAGCACCACGCAGGTGCTACAGTAACGAATGCTATAAAAATGCCCCTGGGAAAATGTCTTATTCTGTGCAGGGTTTGGATGGTGTGCAGTAAATAAGCATGAGGTCCACACTGAATGAGGATTAAAAAAAAATTAGTGACTAGGTACCCATACAGTGAGCATCATTCATTGAATGAGGTGGGGAACCTGTGGAAAAAATATAAAATGGTCATGTAAATAGTTATAAGCACAAGGGGGCTGAAGCAAAGTTCATGTAGGCAACCTTAATTCTGGCATTTCCTAAATATCAGTGCTTTATTGTTGCAACCTTATTTTTATTTTAAAAGTAGGAAATTATTTTTTTTTTTTAAGAGAGGAAAAAAAAAGTTCAACATGAACTGTGTAGTGAGCTCCACACGGGTCATCAGCAGAATTGGAACTTTTGAAGTTATCTTTGTTTTTAATAAAGACAAAAATCTGGAGTGTTACATTTAGTTTCTGAACTTTCTACTGTGTTCACATTTTTTGTGAAAGATTAACCCTTTAAAAAAAGTTTACTCCAAAGGCTTCATGCATTTTCCATCGCAGTGGGAGAAAGTACAGGATCTGTTTATTCAGTTCAGGGAATATGCCAGGGGTAAGTTCCATCAAGGTGGAAGCTTTTCTGCCTTTGAGAACGCCCCTCACAAGCACATTTAACCCAAATTAAAAAGCTTTATTGGAATATCAAAAGTTTCATTAACAGGATCATCCTGTAATACAAATATAGATGTAAGAAGTGCAGAAAGTAGACAACTATTCTTAAGCACTGTACCTTGCCAGGCTCTCTAAGAATAACCCACCTTTATGAATTAAACAGGCTGAAGGCTGGCCAAGCTGAGAAGCCATTTCAGAACAATCGGCCAGTGACGAGGCTGGGCAGACCCACTCTCTCCCCCCCTTACCAGTGGTGCTATATGAGATGGATACTAGATGAACAAAGGCTCTGAAGCTTCCAGTTCTTCACATGGAGGTCATTTCTCCCCTGAACACCTGGTTAAGCTTTGGTCACTCGGTCTCATATTATTTGAGTCTGGTTAGGGGAATACTGTACATTTACTTTGCTGCTCTTGGTTTGAGAATTCTGTATGCTCACAGAGTAGCTGCTGCTTTCAAGGGATGTAAGTAGCAGAGATCACCTTCTGCAGAGAAAAGCTTGGCAGAGCTACTTTAAGATATGTACACATAGTACTGTAAGTACAGCATAAATTGGTGCTTGCATGGAACCAAACCCAGCAAGATAGGGCAACTCTCAGAAGCACCTTTATTCAGCATCTGTAGATTTATAGTGATCGTCATCCACAGTGGAATAGATGTGTCCCTCACTGCTAAGAAATTCAACCGCTTGCCTGAGGAAGGAAAAACAACCATTTCATTATCGACAGCTTCTTTCTGGGGTGCATGTCCTCAGATCATTGCCACTGCTCTCCTCTAGCATCCCATCCAAATGCTTCAGCAGCCCTTTCTCCACAGCAAGCCAAATTGCTCCATGTGTCAAAGGGAAACAAAGTTATTCAGGATGAGCACACACCTTCCCAAGGGCAAGCCTACATGGCCCACCCAATAGCTTCCAGCCCCTGCCATCTATGGGAGGAAAACACCACCACTTAACATTGTTCAGCTAGAGGAAGTAGCTATGGCTACCTTTTGCAAAATGAGATGGGATATAGAAAATGGCAAGATCTAAAATGACATGCTGAGCCCCAGCACCTCAACACTCAGGGAGGCTGGGTTGGGGGGGGAGAGGGTAAGAAGCCAGTCCACCCCACTGAATTCTGCCTGATATCCAGGGTATGCAAGATGGGCTTCAAATTCAGATACATAACAGAAACAGACACATTGTCCATACTACTTTCAGTCACAAGTAACTTACACAAATGTAAAAACAGTATTATTACAAGCTGATACAGCTCATTGGTGCCCCACTCAACTCCAACTACTCAGCTCATCTTTCTGAAGTTTTAAGAAATGTTTAGATCTGGGCTGACACCAAGCATGAGAAACTGGTCAGTGTGAAAGGAAAGTGTGGGAAGGTAATGGCTCTTGCTCTATGTTAATGTGGAGGGAAGGAAGGGCAGGGGGTGCAATATTGCTGTGGCAGAGGAACCAGGAGTGCACAGTAAACAAACATTTCAGGATATCAAACTGTTTAAAGACAGTGATGTTCTGTCTTGGACAGACTCATCCCTTCTGAGAATCTTCCTAGATAAGTTGAGTTTTTAGCAAGATCTCTGGAATTCACCTTTAAGCCTGTTAAGTCCTCAGATGAAGTCATTCTCTGACAGCTACCTGCTAACAGGGCACCTCTGTTTTAGAGAAGTCTTTTCAAATTAACCTCTATTGTAAATAATGGATGAGAGTGAGTATCCCACCAACACCTTGGTGATAGAATTAATGGTGCACTGCTACACAGATATGCTGAGGAAAAAGCAGATTCTTGACCTGAAAGAATTAATGGGATCTTTGCCCCAACATTCACTCCTGTTCCATCCATCAAGATAAGTGAGGCAATATCTGGAGTCCCAGCACACCTGCATGTTACAGTGAGCCAGTGCATTTCTTTATCTCACTCTGCATTTGTCAGATACTACTAAGTAGGTTCAGGGAGGACAGCTTTGGGTTCCAGAACATCCTTTGTCTCTATATACTTACTTGATTGTTATCATATTGATGTTATGTAGTTGGGATTTCAGCTCCGTCAGGCTCAAGCCTTCTGGATCAGAGCAGCTTTTAATCAAATTTAACACCTGACAAAGTAAGAAGTTATAGACATGGTTAGCAGTACACTCAGGAGCACAGCAGACTCTTCCATTTAATATTCCCACAGACTTAGGTAAAAAACTCCAGACAGCATTGCCTCCACTCCATGCACGTTGCTATTACTGAGCACAAATTTATTCATTCCATTTGCAGAATGCTTGCAACCTTTCCTGTTACTGGAGGATGACATATTCCTTCCACAGGGAGAGTTGAATTCCATTTTTAGTTGCAGTCCATGAGTCTGCCATAAGTCTAGCACTACTTACTACCTTCAGCCTACAGCTGAACTCCCACCAGTCAATGGAAGGGTTACAAAAAAGATGGATAGAATATGACCTCTATGTAATAACTAAACTTTGATTTGCCCTGTATCACATTGAATTCAGCATCACTCAGTGTTCATGCATCCTGATCGCTGTAATGGCAAGTTACTGTTCACACTTACCTGACTCTGATGTGCTGTAAGTCCATTCACTGGCACACTACTGCCACATCCATAGCTTGCCATATCACCCATCCCAAAGGAGCCCAGAGACGGAGGCATTTTTGATGTTGTCTAAAGTTACAGAATAAAACAGCTGTGGTCACAAGCTACTTCAAGGCCACAGTAATAAGACAGAGAACATATAAGAACATAAGAATGGCCATACTGGGTCGGATCAAAGGTCCATCCAGCACAGTGTCCTGTCTACTGACAGTGGCCAATGCCAGGTACCCCAGAGGGAGTAAACCTAACAGGTAATGATCAAGTGATCTCTCTCCTGCCATCCATCTCCACCCTCTGACAAACAGAGGCTAGGGACACCATTCCTTACCCAAACTGGCTAATAGCCATTAATGAACTTAACCTTCATGAATTTATCTAGTTCTCTTTTAAACCCTGTTATAGTCCTTGCCTTCACAACCTCCTCAGGCAAGGAGTTCCACAGGTTGACTGTGTGCTGTGTGAAGAACTTCCTTTTATTTGTTTTAAACCTGCTGCACATTAATTTCATTTGGTGGCCCCTACTTCTTATATTATATGAACAAGTAAATAACTTGTCCTTATTCACTTTCTCCACATCACTCATGATTTTATATACCTCTATCATATCCTCCCTTAGTCTCTTTTCCAAGCTGAAAAGTCCTAGCCTCTTTAATCTCTCCTCATATGGGACCTGTTCCAAACCCCTTATTTTAGTTGCCCTTCTCTGAACTTTTTCTAATGCCAGTATATCTTTTTTGAAATGAGGAAACCACATCTGTACGCAGTATTCAAGATGTGGGCGTACCATGGATTTATATAAGGGCAATAAGATATTCTGTCTTATTCTCTATCCTTTTTTGAATGATTCCTAACATCCTGTTTGCTTTTTTGACTGCCGCTGCACACTGTGTTTACGTCTTCAGAGAACTATCCACGATGACTCCAAGATCTCTTTCCTGATTAGTTGTAGCTAAATTAGCCACCATCATATTGCATGTATAGTCGGGGTTATTTTTTTCCAATGTACATTACTTTACATTTATCCACATTAAATTTCATTTGCCATTTTGTTGCCCAATTACTTAGTTTTGTGAGATCTTTTTGAAGTTCTTCATAGTCTGCTTTGGTCTTAACTATCTTGAACAGTTTAGTATCATCTGCAAACTTTGCCACCTCACTCACTCAAGGGCTAATGTTTACCCCTTTCTCCAGATCATTTATGAATAAGTTGAATAGGATTGGTCCTAGGACTGACCCTTGGGGAACACCACTAGTTACCCCTCTCCAGTCTGAAAAATTTACCATTTATTCCTACCCTTTGTTCCCTGTCTTTTAACCAGTTCTCTGTCCATGAAAGGATCTTCCCTCTTATCCCATGACAACGTAATTTACGTAAGAGTCTTTGGTGAGGGACCTTGTCAAAGGCTTTCTGGAAATCTAAGTACACCATGTCCACTTGTCCACATGTTTGTTGACCCTTTCAAAGAACTCTAATAGATTAAAAAGCCATGATTTCCCTTTACAGAAACCATGTTGACTTTTGCCCAATAAGTTATGTTCTTCTATGTGTCTGACGATTTTATTCTTTACGATGGTTTCAACTAATTTGCCCGGTACGGACGTTAGACTTACTGGTCTGTAATTGCCGGGATCACCTCTAGAGCCCTTTTAAAATATTGGCATTACATTAGCTATCTTCCAGTCATTGGGTACAGAAGCCGATTTAAAGGACAGGTTACAAACCATAGTTAATAGTTCCACAATTTCACATTTCAGTTTTTTCAGAACTCTTGGGTGAATGCCATCTGATCCCGGTGACTTATTACTGTTGAGTTTATCAATTAATTCCAAAACCTCCTCTAGTGACACTTCAATCTGTGACAATTCCTCAGATTTGTCACTTACAAAGGACGACTCAGGTTTGGGAATCTCCCTAACTCCCTCAGCCGTGAAGACTGAAGCAAAGAATTCATTTAGTTTCTCTGCAATGACTTTATTGTCTTTAAGTGCTCCTTTTGTATCTCAATCATCCAGGGGCCTCACTGGTTGTTTAGCAGGCTTCCTGCTTCTGATGTACTTTAAAAACGTTTTGTTATTACCTTCTGAGTTTTTGGCTAGCTGTTCTTCAAACTCCTTTTTGGCTTTTATTACATTTTTAAACTTAATTTGGCAGTGTTTATGCTCCTTTCTATTTACCTCACTAGGATTTGACTTCCACTTTTTAAAAGATGCCTTTTTATCTCCCACTACTTCTTTTACATGGTTGTTAAGCCATGGTGACTCTTCTTTAGTTCTTTTACTGTGTTTTTTAATTTGGGGTATACATTTAAGTTGGGCCTCTATTATGGTGTCTTTGAAAAGTGTCCATGCAGCTTGCAGGGATTTCACTCTAGTCACTGCAAGGCACTGCATTTAGCCGTATGAAATGGAAATCTATCAACCTCATCGGCTACCCCTCTGATACTCTAGTCACTGTACCTTTTAATTTCTGTTTAACTAACCCCCTCATTTTTGCTTAGTTCCCCTTTCTGAAGTTAAATGCCACAGTGTTGGGCTGTTGAGGTGTTCTTCCCACCACAGGGATGTTAAATGTTATTATATTATGGTCACTATTTCCAAGCGGTCCTGTTATAGTTACCTCTTGGACTCCACACAGGACTAAATCGAGAGTTGCCTCTCCCCTTGTGGGTTCCCGTACCAGCTGCTCCAAGAAGCAGTATTTAAAGTATTGAGAAATTTTGTCTCTGAATTTCGTCCTGAGGTGACATGTTCCCAGTCAATACGGGGATAATTGAAATCCCCCACTATTATTGAGTTCTTAATTTTGATAGCATTTCATCATCACTATTACTGTCCTGGTCAGGTGGTCGATAATAGATCCCTAATGTTATATTCTTATTAGAGCATGAAATTACTATCCATAGAGATTCTATGGAACATGTGGATTCACTTAAGATTTTTACTTCATTTGATTCTACATTTTCTTTCACATATAGTGCCACCCGCCGCATGACCTGTTCTGTCCTTCCGATATATTTTGTACCCCGGAATGATTGTGTCCCATTGATTGTCTCCACTCCACCAGGTTTCTGTGATGCCTATTATATCAATATCCTCCTTTAACACGAGGCACTCTAGTTCACCCATCTTATTATTTAGACTTCTAGCATTTGTGTACAAGCACTTTAAAAACTTGTCACTGTTTATTTGTCTGCCCTTTTCTGATGTGTCGGATTCTTTTTTAGGTGAATGTTTCTCGTCTGATCTGGCCCATACTTTAGGTTCTAGTCAGGAGGAGAGGATGGAAGAGGATAGAGAATCTCTATCAATAGACTCTCCTCTAAGAGAAGTCTCTGTTCGATCCAAATAGAGTGATCCCAAATAGAGACTACTGGAAGTTGGCTGTACCACAGTGGCAACAATCTCTCTGGGGAAGCCAGGGTGACTGCATCATGATCACGGCAACCTCCTACTTCCTGAAGTTATCTATGCTGCCACATTAAACCCCTCTTCCCCCAAGAACCTCTTATAGAGACAGCCTGGAACAGTATTCTATATAAGGGCTGGAACAGAGAAGAGATACAAGGACATACCATGATGCTTTTTCTGAGGACCATATGTGCGTTGACAATTTCCAATAAGTGTGTGGTGAACTCATTCATATCTTCCAGAGGCATGATCTTAAATGCTACCAGGCTCTTTTTATTCTTTTGGAGAGGAAAAAAAGCAATTGGAAAGATTACAACACTAGGAACATGTTTAATATGTCTGCAAAAACACATTGCAACCATAGCCCTAAAGAGCAGAGGGGCAGTGATAGGAACAGTGTTTGTTTCCATAAAATCAGTGACAAAGTTATTGAAGTTAGCCCTAATCTGAAACTTATCCAGGAACAGATTCACATTATATGAATGTGACAGACCTTCATAGGAGTAATTTATCTCACAGATATACCACCACACCACACCACTCCAACAGCATTGTACAGACAAGGTGGCAGTGGCTGTCCACAGCAGAAAATCCTGGAAAGTCCTGTATATCAGAGCCCCTTTAAAAGAGGTATTAATACTATAGAGAGAATTAGAACTCATCCCCTTTTTAAAGCTGTATTAATGGAGGGGCAAAATAGTGCCTTTTCTTTTAGGACTAGATGATAAAGACAGAGTCAGAAGTTTGAGGGGGGAAAAACCGCACAGGCTTGCTTTCAAGCAAACTAGTATCTGTACAGTGCTTTACACATACAGTGCCACATAAGTGCTTATAATGTTACTGAAATGACGACTGTTCAGCTCCTTTCTTCGGCTGCAGTCTTGCTGAGGCAGGGACCATGCATTTGTGTGGTGCCTAGCATAATGGGTTCCCCAGTAACCTGACTGGAGCCTCTGGGAATTACTACCATACAAACAAAAGCATCATATGAGTGACATTATGAGAGGTCAAAATGATGCTGAGAGATTAGATATCGGAGCCAAGTACTTTAGTCAGTAGCAAACAACTTGTTGAGCCATGCAGCGTGACTTGAAGGTTCTCTTCTCTCTCTTGCATTTGGGAAGGGGACAGTTTGAAAGGAGAGATTTTTCCCTTATGTTTACTACTGCAGATACAGTGGCAGGGGTGGGTGTACCTAGTTACCTACCTGTGATAAAAATGAATGGTGTGCATGTCATGTTGGATGGCGATACGTTTGTTGATATGAATTGTTATCAGGGTGCCTGGAATGGGCACCTATTAATGCAACATTTGTAAGAAGGCAGAATAGTTAGTAACCAAGTTGGGAACAGATTCCTGAAGGCAGGCATTGGCTGTGCTGGTAAGTGACAAGGTTTGTCTAAAATGAAATATTGCCTCTGAACTGTGTTTCACCAGGGACCTGATCAAGCCCCACTGAAGCTGCTATAGACATGGGTTGAACACAATCAGGCTCCCAGATAGTATGCAATAGAATCCCTAAGCAGGCTCTATTAGAAACAGCAGATAGGGCACACTACGCCTTCAGCAATCATTTGAGACTCTCTATTTAGAAGTAGTCATACAAGTAAAGAACAGGATTCTACCTGGAACGATCGAAGATGACCAGCCACTTTCACGTAAGTTCCTGGGGGCACCACAACATTCTCACTCCCTGCCTCCTTAAAAAGAGAGGGGGGGGAAAAAAAGATTTTCTTGGTCCTTGCAGTTCCTGTCTCAGTTATTAGCAATATCAAGTTACATAAAGAGAGACACCCATCTTTTAAAAAAAGCCACACATTCCTGCTTGGAAGTTCTTTTATCTACTGTTGTTACAAGTAACCCTAATGATCACTGCAGCTTTAACAGTAGGAGAAAACATACTTCTCTATTTGTTTACATTATGCGTTTCACAGCACTTTGTTTAGTCAGTTATACTATGTCTATACAGTCAGTCTGTCCCATTTCGAAGGTCCTTCATACAGCAACACAAGAGAAAAAATGTTTTGTACAAGAAGATGCAATTGTGCAGCCATATACATTGACTGGGGGTCTTGGGGCAGACATAAAACCGCCTTTTATTCTGCTGATTGCACTTCAAGTTTACAGTGTCTAATTGTCTCAAACTTGCTCACCTCGGCTAGGTATTGCCTGTAGTTATATGTTGGCATCCACCCACGAAAGCTCATGCTCCTATACGTCTGTTAGTCTATAAGGTGCCACAGGACTCTTTGCTGCTTTTAGTTATATGTTGTAACTTCTCTTTTAAGTATCAGTCAATGCCAGCCTGCATTACTGTATTGGTATGGGAGAGTCTAAGGAAACTAGAGACATGTCTTAGTTTAAGATAAAGTGGTTTCAGGATAGAGAGGGATTCCATCTCTTCAAATGATACGCTTAGTGCAGTGGCTCTCAACCTTTCCAGACTATGGTACTCCTTTCAGGAGTCTGATCTGTCTTGCGTACCCCAATTTTCACCTCACTTAAAAACTACTTGCTTACAAAATCAGACATAAAAATATAGAAGTGTCACAACACACTATTACTGAAAAATTGCTTCCCTTATCATTTTTACCATGTAACTATAAATCAATTGGAATATAAATATTGTACTTACATTTCAGTCCTCTCACGAAAAGCCAAAGAGACAACACCCTCCTAGTTACACCCAATCAGGCAAAGTGGAAATTCAAATTTGTATCTCCCACATCCTGGATGAGTGACCTAACTACTGGGTATTCTGGGACAGATGGACACAAAACACCCGAGCCTGGAACATGCAGTGTATAGCATACAGAGTAGTATAAACAAATCATTAGCTGTATGAAATTTTTGTTTGTACTGACTTTGCTAGTGTTTTTTATGTAGCCTGTTGTAAAACTAGGCAAATATCTAGATGAGCTGATGTACTGCCCAGTACCGCTAAGTATACCTCTGGCTGAGAACAAACTGGCTTAGTGTATGTGAGAATAAGACAAGCAGCTCGTCAGTGTACATGTTTTAGGCTTGCTTAAGCACAGCCATGCATGACACCAGTAGGTATTCAAACTAAGTCCCCAGAGGCACCAGGAATGTTTTTATTTTTTAAAAAGGGGAAGAGGAAGACATGCTCATGGTGTTCAATACTGACTTCTTCAGTTTGGTTAAGGAACAACATTCTTTAAGAATCTTGCCCCATCATCAACATCCTGAAGGATATATACTACAATGTTGGGAGTCCAATAGAATAATTCCCCAGGAACACTAAATATCCCTGCGAGAGGGATGCTCTTCTAGGTTTACATAGGTCAGATAAAGTACTGATAACAAGTCTCTTTTGATACAGCCATTTTATCCACTGGGGGATCTATTCTGTTCTCAGAACACAAACAGCTCCCATGCAATAAGTACATGTAGACAGGGAAAGCAGACTCCATAACAGAATAGGTAAAGGAGAATTTTCCAGTGCTCAACAGACCTATTCAAAGGAAGTATTACTAAGAAGTACCTCAACATATCTGAAATCAGATCAGGCATTCGGGGTTAGATTCACAAAGGAATTGCCGAGGCATTGCAATGATGCACTCCTAGATCCCTGCTACTTAGTGGAATTCTCAACCCCAAGTTAGACACCCAGGCTTCTCACATCTTGTATGGAGAGTTACACACTTAAGAAAGGGATGCTCAGAAGCCAGCAAGCTGAGCAGGGAGATGTCTAAGCCAGCCAAGAGTGAAATACGAAGGAAAGAGGCAGGGCTTATGGCCCACAGGGAAACACCTGCCTCCGCTCAGGATTCTCAGCCCTTTCCTGGAGTTAGGCCCCCAAGCCAGGTCAGCCCTTTCACGAAAAGCCAGAGAGACAACACCCTTCCAGTTATAACCAATAGTGGGAGAATCAGGATCAATTCCCTGCTTCACATCAAACTGGGGATTCAAACTTGTATCTCCCATATCCTGACCTAACTACTGGGTATTCTGGGACAGATGGACACACATACCCAAGCCTGGAACATTCTTCACTTGCTTCTGTCCCCATCCCACCCCCAGTCTTTTGTGAGGGTTAGACATACTCTGAGCACACCTGCCAGACTGGGCTCCTCTGGCAAGATAGGCGTGGGAAACCCTAATTTGAGAATCGCTCTGGGGTTTTGGCTTGAACTAAGGCTCTGAGCTGCTCATTGGCTGTGGGGTGGTGTCAGGACTGGGTGGCTTTGCACATGTTCACCAGTGGAAACATAAGCACCTACAGGGTTAGGCAGCAGCTGGACAATAGTTCTGAGAATGTCAGTTGCACCTAAATGGTGGACATGAGTTCCTAAGTACCTATGAGAATCTGGGCCTTTGGTGTCTTTTCAGTTTAAAAAAAAGCAGTCAGTGAGATATTTAATTGAGTTTAAACTTGTGACATCAGTCTCTAGTCCTGCTCGTTAGCTATACTATAGTCTTAGTTTACATTTACAAGATAAATACTATTTCCTCCATCATTCCTGGATAGAAAGTATCAGAATTCATACTTATTGTCTCAACCCTAAACCCCAGTTGGTGCTTACATCAGTATCAACCCACTGTCTGACATCCATCGGGGCTGCAGTCATATCATCTATTTTGTAGAGGATGTTGGTTGGTGCTTTCTCTGCCTGTCTGATTATTCCCATGATAACAACCTGCATTGGAAAAGAAACGGAGATCAGTTTAGTGGGGGGGGGGGGGGACTTAGGACAAGTTTAATATTTAACACTTACACACCACCACCTTCCCTCCCACCCATTTGCACAACAAATACCTACTCACCAGCCTTTTTCACTTACCTGTGAGATCTCTACTTCTCGGATCTTGAACGTCTCATCAATCTGCTCAGCAGCAAGTAACTGAGACACTGTACATGGCACAATATTCTGGGAGCGGGATCTCTGCAAAAGAAAATTTAAAGAAGACTGAAAATTTCACCTTTTGATCTTTGAAAAAGAAAAAACAAGACTAGAAATTTTATTTTTCCACAAATTGTAAATGCTGAAATACACTTGTTAAAGTCTTAAATTAAGTACTAAAAGCACTTTTACCTGAAGACTAAGACCGTGTCTCCATAACCTTTGTATGTTTCTTATGAAGTCAGCATAAACAAGTAACACTGTTCTAGTTAATTCTCAGCAAAGCACTTTAGATCATAAGAATATAAGACCAGCCACACTGGGTCAGACCAAAGGTCCAGCTAGAATCATAGGGTTAGAAGGCAACAGAGGGTCCTGTGGCACCTTTAAGACTAACAGAAGAAGGGTTAGAAGGGACCACAAAGGTCATCTAGTGAGTCTAATTCCCTGCTAAGATGCAGGATTTGTTGTCTAAACCATCCAAGACAGTTGGCTATCCAGCCTCCTTTTGAAAACCTCCAGTGAAGGAGCTTCTACAACCTCCCGAGGCGTCCGTTCCATTGTCCTACTGTTCTTACAGTTAAGACGTTTTTCCTGAGATTTAATCTAAATCTGCTACATTGTAGTTTGAACCCATTACCTCTTGTCCTGCGTGCTGTGGCAAAGAACAACTGTTCATCTTTTTTATGGCAGTCTTTCAAGTATTTGAAGACTGCTATCATGTTGCCCCTCAATTTCCTCTTTTCCTAACTAAACATATCTGGTTCCTTCGGCCTTTGCTTATATGGCTTGCACTCCCCACCTCTTTGATCGTCTTTGCTCCTCGCCTCTGGATCCTTTCCAGTTTCTCTACATCCTTTCTATACATTGGTGACCAAAACTGGATACAGTACTCCAGCTAAGGCCTAACTAGCCCTAAGTAGAGCAGTACCATCACCTCCCGTGATTTGCATGCTATGCCTCGGTTAATGCAGCCTAAAATTGCATTTGCTTTTTTTGCAACAGCATCGCATTGCTGACTCATGTTGAGATTGAGATGTTCAAAGTGATTTACAAACATTGAGGCCATGTCAGCATTAGGATTTTTAACTGAGTCTGTGACCAGTTAGTACCACAGGCAGCTCGAACCATGGTTTGAGTTCACTTGTTAGGATAGAGATATTCAGGCCTGTCTGCAAAGGCCTATACTTTAAGAATGTAGGTGAATTCTTATCACTAAGCTAGTTATAGAGGTATAAAAGAAAGAATCAAAATCACTGTCTGTCTGTCTAAGAGCCTTCTCTTACTGTGACAGTCTGAGCCCTGTTCTTAGGCTAAGGCCTTCGGCTAAGCAGCAGAGGCAGCCATCAACTGGGAAGTGTATGGTCACATCCTCACATTCCAAACTAGTCACATTGAAATAAGGTGCTATTGGGCTGTTAAGAATAGAATCCTGTCCTGATATTCCTGTCACCTCCAGAGAAAGGGAAGAGCCTAAAAGATGTAAAAGGAAACTTAGTTTGATAGCATCCTGTCTGGCAAGAACTCACTTATCAATAGCTGGGATGTGAAATCCTCATTTCTGTATTGTTCTATCACTGTAGTCTTCACTTCCCTATTGTTTGTCTGTATAATCTCTGTCTGGTTCTGTGATTGTTTCTGTCTGCTGTAGAATTCATTTTGTTGGGTGTAAACCAATTAAGGTGGTGGGATATAATTGGTTAAATAATCATGTTACAATATGTTAGGATTGGTTAGTTAAATTTCAGTAAAATGATTGGTTAAGGTATAGCTAAGCAGAACTCAAGTTTTACTATATTGTCTGCAGTCAATCAGGAAGTAAGGGGGGGAATTGGAATCATGTTTCATTAAGGGGGAAATGGGAACAGGGACACAGGCAAGGCTCTGTGGTGTCAGAGCTGGGAAGGGGGATACTGAGGAAGGAAACTGGAATCATGCTTGCTGGAAGTTCACCCCAATAAACACTGAATTGTTTGCACCTTCGGACTTTGGGTATTGTTGCTCTCTGTTCATATGAGAAGGACCAGAGAAGCAAAAGAGTGAAGGAATAAGCCCCCTAACATCACTCATAATTGATACTCTTAGGAATCACAACAGTTAAGTATGTGCTGCCCTTCCTAGTGGCCTAGGCTGGCACGCAGTCATCTTCCTCAACCAAAGGATAACATTGGGTTTGTTTTTTACTGCGTAGAAGGGACAGCCTAACTGAGTTTGTGTAACAGAGTTGGCCTGTCTTCCTCCTTCCTTACAGCTTTCCCTATGCACTCTTGGTATTGGTCCAGGTGCATGTCCTTCATGCTCCATTATCCCCTGCTGAGAACATATGGGATAGCTCTCCTGGTTTTCCCTGATACAAACACAGTAGGCAACATGGTAGATGTTGAGACAAAGGAGTATTTTATACATTCTTTTGTTGTGGAGGTAAAAACGCAGAGTGGACACAGCTCAGCCATGTTTGATGTAACCAGGTCAGTAGTCATAAAATGATGGTTGCAGCTACAGCACAGTTGTGAAGTTTAATTAAGCCACAACATCCTGTGAATGAGGTAAATATCTATTCTGAATGGGGAAACCAAAGTAGAGTATAAATAACTTGCCCAAGCTCACAAAACAAATCAGTGGTCGCTCCTAGGCTGTTGTACTCCTCCCATCACTGCTTATGTTATATTAGGAAGTTTGTTCCTAACGCTGCACGATTTGTTCTGTGCTAGGAGAGGTGTAGATAATCCTTCTCATTCTCATGACAGGAATGTAGAGACCAAAACCCCCAAGGGGAGCTCCCCAGCGTGACCAGGCACTTGTGGGCTAAGCCCAACTCTCCCATTCTCTCAAACCCTTATCTGGACTAGGAAGCAGTACATACCTGTTTCTTTTCTCCCTGGGTGGCTGCAGGAGATCCAAACCCCCCTGGGGACTGTGTGTATCCTCCACTAATTGCAGACCCTCCATAGCCACTCTCAAAGCCACCTGGGGGAGAGGGGAAAGAATCAGGGTTAATAACACAGTGCTGCTAACGCCAAATGTTCAAAAGCCATAAATTACACCCAAAAAAAGTCATGCAACTGGCTTAAAATTAAACAAAATATAGTAAGTTGGGGGGGGGTATTGACATTATAATTTTTGCGCTTTTGGGGTCATAATTTCAGGTGTTTTGCAGCAACCATGTCAACTAGAGGGAAAGTTGAGATTCTCACATGTTCACATAACTCCAGGAACTGGAGCTTTAAAAAAGCTCCCAATGTTATTAGACTTGTGATAAAACAGTGAGCGCTAGCCCCACTGACAATCAGCCTGCTCTCCAGCCAGGAATAACATGAGGCTCTGCACTGGAGCTGAGGGGGTTCCATCAGGAAAGACAGGAGAACACTCCCCCCACCCCCCAGCCTTGCTCCCCAGCCTCCTGTGTTTTTAACCTGCACCCAAGTCCAAACCCCATCACAGATCAGAGAAGGCACCAGAACGCTGAGCTCATGGGGATGCCAGGCAGCAGGCCATGGAGAAGGGCAGCATCGTGGGCTCAGCCACGTACAGGCACCTCACAAGGGAGAGACACCTGCCTCCAGCCCCACAGCTAGGGGAGAGAGGAACCCACTGCCTGCCCCACTTCATCAGCCCACCACCACCCCTCTTCACCCCCTGCCAGCCCCTCCCCCGCTTCATCACCCCATTCCCTCCCCTCCTGCCAGCCCCTCCCCCCACTACACCACTTCACCGCCCTACCAGCCCTTCACCCCCGCCACACCCTCACCGTGACTGCTCCACATCATGGGTGCTGCGGACACCCCGCCACACACTCAGCCCAGGACACGCTCGGCTCCTGCCTCTAACAGCTCCTCTGCGCGCCACAAGCAACCACCCAGTCAGCGAGCCCGACACTCAGGGCTCGCGCCACGCTCCAGCCAATCGGCTCCTACCTTAGTGAGGGGCAGCGCAGGCGCAGGCCGCTCCTTCCGGTGGCTTCAGACCCGTCGAGCGGATGGGCAGCCGCCGCCATCTTTGCTGTTGGCACTGCCCCCTCTGGCGAGTCTGCCAAGCTCCTCCCCGCGCTAAGGGCACGTGCCAGGGGGCTGACCTGGTCGCCCCGGCGGCCTAGCTGTCGCGTTGCCCTGCCATCGTTAGGCTCCGGGATTAACGGCCTGTATAGCCCAGTCCCCACACACGGGTCGGGCTTGGCGCCGGGTGCTAAACCGGGCCTGGCACCGAGTCGCCCTGCGGACTAGAGTGGAGCCCGTAGCCCTAGCCTGGCTGCTGCCCTCAAACCTAGCGTGGGTTACCTCACCCTGCTGCCCCGGGAGCCAGCACCCACCTGCTACCTCCTAGGGACTTTCCTCTGGGAGTCCCCACCCACCCGCTGCATCCTGGGGGCTCCCCTCTGAGCACCCCCATTCCCTGGGAGCCAGCACCCACCCGCTGCATCCTGGGGGCTCCCCTCTGAGCACCCCCATTCCCTGGGAGCCAGCACCCACCTGCTGCATCCTAGAGGCTCCCCTGGGAGCACCCACCATTCCCTGGGAACCAGCACCAATGCATTGCGTCCCAGGGGCTCCCTTGGGAGCACTGCCCTGCCTAACTGCTGAGAGTTTGGAATCTCAGCTCAGCAATATGGAGGCATTGTGACTCCGTCTGCTCCCTGGGGCATCCTTACATGCCATCCCATTGTGAATTTGGAGGGCCTCAGGCCGAACAATTCCTTCTAGGATCCAGCACCAGAAGCCGTTTGGATCAGGGTACAGAGGAAGGACTTTTTTTTTAAGGTCAGGCTTGACAAGGCTGGGATGATTTAGTTGGGGATTTGTCCTGCTTTGAGCAGGGGGTTGGACTAGATGATCTCCTGAAGTCTCTTCCAACCCTGATATTCTATGACATCCCCCAGACCCTACCATGGTGCCCAGTCAGTTACTGCCATTCCCCCACTCGTGGGCTGGTAGGGGCTATTCTGGCAATGAGTGGGTGCTGGAGCTGTATGGAGAGTTAAGTGTATCTATTTGGGAGCAGAGTTCAGGGCAGGGGGCACAGCCTAGTTGTGTAGCCTGTAACTGACATTCTCTCTACAGTGTGGGGGATGCTGCTGAGGCAGCAGATGGACTGACCCTCCAATACAGTTGTCAAGGCTGATTCCCCACTATGGCACTTCAAGTGCAGAAGATGAGGGCCCACAAGGATTCTAAAAATTAATACTGGCCACTCCAGGCTTGTATTAAACTCCCAAGCTTTTCTCTGACCTTGGATTGGTAGATGCTGCCACCACCCAAATGTAGAACCCCTTTCAGAGCCCAGGAAAGCGCACTTAGGAATTCCGTCCTGTGGGGTACCCTCAAGCCCTTTCGCCCCCCTTTGGGGAAGAGCTGAGAGAGAAAAAAAAGAAATCAGCTGTTGCCACCAGCTAATTAAACAAAATGTGCACAAACCTCTTAAGATACAAAAATCCAATTCTGTTCTTAAAAAAGGTAAATTTTATTAATTAAAAAAAAAAGAAAGAAAATACATCTGGGAACTCAGGCTATTGCTAGATTTTAAAAGAGCAACTACAAGGATTAAGCACCAAGAATAGCTTTCTTGAGATCCAGCTTAAAGGTTACAAACAAAACAAAACAAAAGCACCTGGGGTTAGCACGGAGGAATCCACAAGCCATAACAAAATAAAAGGAATAAACCTAATTGCATCTTCCTAGACATTTCCTGATCTACTTATATATCTGGGGTTTTAAATCAGTAGTTTCTAGGAATAATACTGATGATTTTTCATACCTGGCCCAAGCTTCTTACAGCATAGCTGCCCTGTCTGCCTCTCCCCGGGAGAACAGCCACAGACAGAGGAAAGGGGAATCTTGTTTCAATTTTAAAAAGTTCTAGCCTTCCCATTGGCTCTTTTGGCCAGGTGCCCACTCACTTCCTTTTTCCTATGCATAGCAGTGAGACTTTTTAACCCTTTACAGATAGAGCAATTAACAGCTACTCAGAGGGACTTTATAGGTACTGGCTGGCTGGGTGTCCATAAAAGGGAGCTACCCTCCCCCTCCATTTATCACATGCCCCCCAAATCACAGACAGTGTTGGCCAACCTGGTTCAGGTCGGGTCCACACCGCTGGGATTTCTTCCTGGAGGTTTAAGAAAACAGAGTTAATAAGATACATGCACCTCTAATTTTACTACTAATCACATGAAGAACTAAACAGTATTTTCCACATTTTAAGGACTAGAATGACTTAGACTACAGGGACATTTTTACCCGGCTGATTCTGGGAAACCTTCCCGGGAGAGTGCGTCAGCCACTTTGTTAGAGGCTCCTGAAATGTGTTGTATTTCAAAATCAAAGTCTTAAAGAGCTAAACTCCACCAAAGAAGTTTTTTGTTAGTCTCTTTGACTGTGTGAAGCCACTTCAGTGCAGCATGGTCAGTCTATAGGTGGAAACGCTGTCCCCAAATGTATGGGCGTAGCTTCTCCAGGGCATACACAATGGCATAACAGCCTTTTTCTGAGACTGAACAGTGGTTTTCCCTCTCAGAAATTTTTTTGCTGAGAAACACGACAGGATGGAATTGTTGATCTGGTCATTTCTGCATTAAAACTGCTCCTACACCACACTCGGCTGCTTCTGTGGTTACAACGAAAGGTTGGTTGAAGTCCGGGGCCCTTAGTACAGGTCAGACATACGGGCCACCTTAAGCTGTTTAAAAGCTTTCTGACACTTCTCAGTCCACTGAACTGCATTTGGCTGTTTTTTCCTGGTTAGGTCTGTTAGTGGGGTGGTAATTTGGCTGTAGTGTGATACAAATCGTCTGTAATCCCCAGCCAAGCCCAAGAAGGATTGGACCTGCTTCTTTGACTTAGGGACAGGCCAATGTTGGATAGCATTTACTTTAGGATGTAGGGGCTTGATAGTTCCTTGACCCACCTGGTGTCCAAGGTATGTTACCCTGTTTAGGCCTATTTGACATTTTTTGGTCTTAATGGTTAATCCTGCCTCCCTTATGCACTGGAAGACAGGTTGGAGGTGTTCCAGGTGTTCTGCCCATGAATCTGAGAATATGACCACATCGTCAAGGTAGGCGACTGCAAATTCCCCAAATCCAGCCAGAAAGTTATCTACCAGTCTCTGGAAGGTGATGGATGCATTTTGCAGTCCAAAACGGAGCACATTAAATTCATACAGCCCTACATGGGTGATGAAGGCTGACCTTTCCTTGGCTGGGTTATCTAGCGGCACTTGCCGGTACCCCTTAATTAAGTCTAAGGTGGAGATGAATTGGGCACGTCCCAGTTTCTCCAATAGCTCATCTGTGCGTGGCATTGGATAGTTCTCTGGGCAAGTTATAGCATTTAGCTTATGATAGTTCACTCAAAAGTGGATTTTCCCATCTGGTTTGGGAACCAGAACCACTGGAGGGGTGGATTACACCCATCTGTAACATGTCCTTGATCTTCCTTTCTATTGCGGTTTTGGCTTGAGGAGTCATCCAGTAGGGTTGGGCTTGAATTGGGTGAGCATCACCTGTGTCAATGGAGTGGTACGCCCGTTCTGTCCATCCTCAGGTGGCTGAAAACATTGGCGCGAAGCTGGTGCACAGCTCCTGGATTTACTGTCGCTGCTTACGCCCAAGGGTTATGGAAAGTCTCACCTCTTCTACACCACCGTTGCTTTTCCCTTCATAGTAGACTCATTCAGGCCACTTAGCGTCGTCTCTCTCGTGGGCTATAAACTGGAGAACCTTGATTTCTCAGGAATAAAAGGGCTTTAGAGAATTACAATGGTATACTTTAGGTTTTAGGGTAGGGTCTGGGAACACTATGAGATAACTAACAGCTCACAGGCGCTCTCAGACCATAAATAGCCCCTCCCAGAACGCTTCCATCTTATTGGCCTGGAGCACTTTCAGGACCATGACTTGGTCACCTACTCTGAAGGACGCTCTCTGCATGTTTATCATACCAGGACTTTTGCTCTTGTTGAGCATCTTGTAGATTTTCTCAAGCAAGAGCTAGAGAATCTTTGAGGGTGTTTTGCAGGTTGCTTACAAAGTCCAAAATTTAACCCCCTCTCATTGCTGCTTCACCAACTGTAATGGCCCCTTAACTTCATGGCCATAAATGAGTTCAAAGGGTGAAAACCCCAAACTGGGATGTGGTACAGCCCTGTAGGCAAAGAGCAACTGCTGCAACACTAGGTCCCAGTCTTTGAAGTGCTCATTCACAAATTTACATATCATGGCCCCCAAATTCCCATTAAAACTTCACTAGGTCATTTGTTTGATGGTGGTAAGGGGTGGCAAGCAAATGGTTCAACCCATGAGCTTTCCAAAGACGTTTCATGGTCCCTGCCAGGAAGTTAGTTCCCGAATCCATAAGGATGTCGGAGGGCCAACCTACCCTGGCAAAAATGTCTGCCAATGCCTGGATCATGCTTTTAGCCCTGGTGTTGCTTAGAGCTACTGCTTCCGGCTATCGAGTGGCAAAATCCACAAAGGTCAGTATGTACAGCTTTCCTCTGGGTGTCTTCTTAGGGAAAGGACCCAGAATATCCACAGCTACACGCTGAAATGGAACCTCAATTACGGGGAGTAGCTGGAGAGGGGCCTTGACCTGGTCTTGGGGCTTTCCCACCCTCTGGCACACCTCAGAAGACCGGACATAGGTAGAAACATCCTTGCCCATTCCCTCCCAGGGGAATGATTTTCCCAAACGTTCTTTGTTCCTATTCACCCCAGCATGGCCACTAGCGTGATCGTGGGCTAAGCTCAGGAGCTTTTCCCAGTACTTACTTGGAACTACCAACTGTCTCTGAGGATGCCAGTCCTCCTGGTGCCCACCAGAAAGGGTTTCCTTGTATACGAGTCCTCCTCCTACAACAAACCTGGACCTATTAGAAGAGCTGAGAGGTGGTGGGTCATTCTGTGCTGCTG